TGGCCTCCAGTTCCTCCTGTTTGTTACCCATGCTGCGTGCGTTAGTGTAGATGCACCTCAGCCGCGTCACCTTTTGGATGGGAGAAGCCCTAGCACCTTCCTGATGATACTCAGATGTTTCCATAGTAACTATCCTCTCAACAACCCTTGTGTTCTGCCTGCAACTTGGTATGACATTTTGATCCCTTGCTGATTTACAAGATTGTATGATCCTGTTACTACTACATTCCTCCCCCACAAGTACTGGCATGTTACATTCTTCCTCCTTTTCAGTGGTCCTGGTTTTGCCCCCACTCCCTTCCATACCTAGTTTAAAGCTCTCTCTATGAGCCCTGCCAACTCCCTTCCCAAAACCCTTTTCCCTCTGTGGGACAAGCTATTTCCACTCATTTCCAACAGACCGGGCCTATTGTAGATCCAGCTGCTGTCAAAAAACCCAAACCCCTGCTGGACACACCAGTCTCGGAGCCAGGTATTAATCCCCTGGTACCGCCTGCCTAATCCCTCATCTTTCCCCTCAACTGGAGGGATAGAGGAGAACACGACCTGTGCTCCTGAACCCTTAATCAGGCGCCCCAAGGCTCTGAAGTCCTTCTTTATAGTCCTTGGAGTGGTTCTTCCTAATTCATCCCTGCCTATCTGAAACAACACAAGGGGGTAATAGTCTGAGGGCCGCACTAGGGAAGGAAGCTTCTTCCTTACATCTTTAACTCTGACCCCTGGGAGGCAACAGACCTCCCTGTGCACTGGGTCCGGTCTGCATATCGGGCCTTCTGCTCCCTTAAGCAGTGGATTAGGATTACCAGTTACATGGTGTATGAAGTAAAGCAAAGATTTGCTATTAACATAGGAAATTATCCCACTAAAATTCAGTGGGAGATCTTAAGGAAGGGGGAATGGAATATTTACTTACAAATTTTCTAAGCTGATGTTGCCAATTCCTACTTGTTCTATCACAGATTTCATAAACTTGTACTCTTATACCCACATATGCAGAAGCCCCAAGATACTTGAGGCTAAATGACAGAGTCAGGACCACTGATACCAGCTACAGACTCCTCATCACATCTGCTGGGCTTCTTTCTGACTGGTGACGATCCACTGTTTTCTGAACACATCTGCCATACTCTCAAAGAATCAACAGTGTTGTTGACAGAATGTTTTTTTTGCTTCATAATCTTGCTTCTTTGGTCCCCATAACCCCTGCTCAAGGTTGCAACTCATATATCAGTTTTCCTTGCTTGCTTGATAATATTTTCCTCCTCCAAGCGGTAGAGGAGCTGCCAAGGAAAGCTGCCATGCTGTCCGGACCAACGAGGAGGGGCTGGTGGGCAATGTGAAGCTCAAGGGCAGCCTTGGCTGCAGCAACTGTTAAATAGGAGGCTGAGGGGTGATCTCATAAATGTTTATAAATACGTCAAGGGGGAGTGTCAGGAGGACAGAGCCAGGCTCTTCTCAGTGACATCCAATGACAGGACAAGGGGCAACGGGTACAAGCTGGAACATAGGAGGTTCCACAAAAATATTAGGAAAAACTTTTTCACTGTTAGAGTGACAGAGCCCTGGCCCAGGCTGCCCGGGGACGTTGTGGAGTCTCCTTCTTTGGAGACATTCAAAATCCGCCTGGACGCGTTCCTGTGGGACCTGCTGTAGGTGATCCTGCTCTGGCAGGGGGGCTGGACTGGATGATCTTTCAAGGTCCCTTCCAACCCCTGACATTCTGTGATTCTGTGATTCTGTGAAATTCAAGATCCTTAGGACAAGAAGGAGGGTGTGCAGCAAGCCACTACTCCAGGCTTCAGGAGAGCAGACTTTGAACTCTTCAAGGACCTGCTTGGTAGGATACCGTGGGATAAAGGCCTGGAGGGGAGAGGGGCCCAAGAAAGCTGGTCAGTATTCAAGGATCACCTCCTCCAAGCTCAGGAACAACGTGTCCTGACAAAAAGGAAGGCAGGCAACAATGCCAGGAGGCCTGCATGGATGAACAGGAGGCTCTGGACACAATTAGTTGAAAAAAGGAAGCCTACAGAGGGTGGAAACAGGGACAGGTAACCTGGGAGGAATACAAAAATGTTATCCGAGCAGCCAGGGATCAGGTTAGGAAAGCTAAGGCCCAGATAAAATTAAATCTGGCTAAGGACATCAAGGGTAACAAGAAAAGCTTTTACAGGTACCTCAGTGACAAAAGGAAGACTAGGGAAAGTGTGGACCCTCCCTGGAAGGAAACAAGAGACCTGGTCACACAGGACATGGAGAAGGCTAAGGTACTCAAGGCCTCATTTCCTCAGTCTTCACTGGCAAGTGCTGCAGCCACACAGCTCAAGTCACAGAAGACAAAGGTAGGGACCAAGAGAATGAAGATCTGCCAACAGTAGGAGAAGACCAGGTTCGAGACCATCTAATGAACCTGCAGGTGCACATGGCCGTGGGGCCTGATGAGATGCATGCGCGGGTCCTGAGGGAGCTGGTGGATGAAGTTGCTAAGCCACAATCTACCATGTTTGAGAAATCATGGCAGTCTGGTGAAGTTCCCACAGACTAGAAAAGGGGAAACACAACCCTCATTTTTAAAAAGGAAGACAAAGGAAGACCCAGGGAACTGCAGGCCAGTCAGTCTCACCTCTGTGCCTGGCAAGATCGTGGAGTGGATCCTCCTGGACACTATGCTAGGGCACAGGGAAAATAAGGAGGTGACTGGTGACAGCCAACATGGCTTCACTAAGGGCAAACCATCCCTGACAAATCTGGTGGCCATCTATGATGGGACTCCAGTGGTGCTGGATAAGAGAAGAGCAACTACTGTTTTCTATCTGGACTTGTGCAAAGCATTCAACACTGTCCCACAAAACATCCTTGTCTCTAAAGTGGAGAGACATGGATTTGATGGATGGACCACTTAGCAGATAAGGAACTGGCTGGATGGCCGCACTCAAAAGTCAACAGCTCGATGCCAGAGTGGAGCCCAGCGACGAGTGGTGCCGCTCAGCGGTCAGTAGTGGGACTGGTGCTGTTTAACACCTTTGTCAGCAATGAGGACAGTGGGATCAAAGGCACCCTCAGCAAGTTTGCTGATGACACCAAGCTGTGTGGTGCAGTAGACATGGCTGATAAAGGGGTGTCATCCAGAGGGACCCGAACAGGCTGGAGAGGTGATTAGATATTAGGAAGAAGTTCTTCACTGTGTTCAGGGTGGTGGGATCCTGGCCCAGGTGGCCCAGGGAAGCTGTGGGTGTCTCATCCCTGGCAGTGCCCAAGGCCAGGTTGGATGGGGCTTGGAGCAACCTGCTTTGGTGGGAGGGGTCCGTCCATGGCAGGGGGGTTGGAACTGGATGATCCTTAAGGTCCCTTCCAACCTAAACTATTCTGTGGTATTTTGAACAAGTACCTCTTTCCACATGTTTGGCTAAAAGAAAAAGAAACTGTGTCTGCATTATGCTGCAACCCTGCAGCCACTGTCATGTGTACGGATACAGGACATTCTGCTAACAAGTCACTTGTGCTGTGGTCTTGTCTCAGAGAGCAGACCTTCCGCTTACGGTATTATCAACACAGTCCTCAATGGTATTGCTGAGAATGGAAAAGTATTTTTTGTTATTAGCGCTGGCTATTCTTCTAACTCGTTTTAGTGTTTTCACACACACACACATAGAATCACAGAATCATAGAAACACATTTCCATTCATATTTCATTCACAGCAACCAAATCTCTAACAAAAGCTATAAATAACTTTAAGCTTGAATTGCGTTCTCCAAAATTGCGATGTCCTTAAACCAAAGGTAGTTATTTTTCAAAAAACTATTTGCTAGGTCAGCTAGAACATACCAATATGTTGTAAAAGTTTATGAAGTGTATGGGCTGCTAGACTGGAACTCATAGAAGACAATCTTTATAATAATAATCTAGTTTGGATTTAGCTTGCACTTCTGTGTTTGGATTTCTAGACCAAAAAGCCCAATTTCGCTTTACTATGCAAACCTCACAGAAGTATAATACCCTGGTTTTAGCTGTTACCCTCTTAAAGATCTCAAAAATGTTTTGAAGGCCTAATTCTTGCTTTTCATCTAATCAAGTACAGGCTTAATTTCCTCCAACACTAACATTTCACAATTTAGTCTTTAATTTCCTTGGAAAAATATCAGACTGACTCACAAGAGATACCTTCTTCCCCGATCCAGCTGGCTTGCTTGCTTTCACTCTTTTAATCTCTTCCCTAAATACCTTTCCCCACAGAGGAGCCCTACCTTCTGGGGATGGGGCAGGAATGACTCTCAAGATCTGCTCAATTTGATTCACTGTTGATGTTCCACGAAAAAGAGGTTTCCCAAGCAGCAGCTCTCCCAGAATACAGCCAATGCTCCACATGTCTACAGCTTTAGTGTAACTACAAATAAGAACAGAACAGAACTTCGACTAAATCCAGCAAATAGTTTTCTGTACCTGGTATTCGCATAGTCTACATTAGCTTGTTCTGCTAGAAAAGCAAGCTTGACAACTCCCAAATACAAATGCTCACACGTTTTAACTATCAAGTGAATGAGATGTGGGAGTCATAAAACCGGCACGCATAAAACAGAACACAGATTTATCCTACTAAAAGTCTATTCTAGGAAACTATAAAAGAAAACATACAAAAGGGAAAAGCATGGAGAAGGTTATATACACTTTTCGTATGATCAGCAGTGAAGATACAAGTTGCCGTTTGGAAACAATTGACTTTTCAGGGCATAACATATCTAGAAAGTAGCTACAATTACTTAACCAACAATGGGTAAACGATGGTTTGCAACACATGCACATTTCAAATCTGGGATAGTAATGCAACCTATATTTATTTTCTTTTCTGATCAATAAGATTTTGTATATTTAAGTAAAAAAATGGACTAAGTCAGACTAACAGGCAGATGATTTAACATTTGACTACAGAACATTTTCTGAAGGTCTGTCAAAAAGCTTTCCTTAAATTTGGAAAAGAGGACTAAGGTACTTAACCAAATTTTGTAATGATGTAGATTTAAGGGGAGAAAGCACAAGTCTAGTGAGAGAGAAGATGACAAACAGATGAGCTAATAATGTATGTAAATAGATAACTTGCGAAGCCAGGAAGGAATGAATGTACATGTAATGAGAGATTTTTATGTAAAACCATATTGAGAAAACGAAGCACTGACATGACATTACATCTAGGGTCATCTAAAATGAAAATATTTAAGATTTATAGACCATAAATTTTCCCAGTGGTGAAGACACCAAATCCCATCCCTTCGCTCATATGAAGCAGTTACCTCCGGGAGGAAAGCAAGATCTCAGGGGCTCGGTACCAGCGTGTTGCCACGTATTCTGTCAGGGCAGGGTTGCCTTGGTCCTCGTCCATCTGGCTTAAAGAACGGGCCAGCCCAAAATCACAAAGTTTAACAAAGCAGTCTGCATCCAGCAAGATATTTGAAGGCTGAATTGAACAAGAGAACAAATTTTACTCTCTGAGTGGCGTAAGATCATTATCAAGGTTCTTTTGTTAGTCTCATTTTTTACCATACTTTTCCATTTAGTGTTTAGCAGAAAACTTGAGTGAAGGATAAAGACTACAACTGAAATATACCTTCTGATCTCTGTGAATAACATTTCCTGAGTGGATGAATTTAGTTGCCTTCAGGAGTTGGTAGAGAATGTAACACTTGTGGATATCTTTCAGCAAATTCCCCTTCTTAATCACAGCATGCAAATCGGTCTCTGTAATATATTACATCAGTGATATATTTCCATGAGTAAAGGATTACCAAGTTGTGAACAGAAATTCCTCAAAGCGAGGCCAGAACAGACCGTTTTCCAATCTGTAATCTTTCAAGTGCATCCTCAACAGAAGTTAACACTGTAATTACTAATAGCAGTCTCTCTATTATCTCTTTTGTTATAGTAAAAATGCACATACTGTCTTCCATAGGCAACTCTTCTGTCTCTACAAGCCTTCTAATTTGTTGCTCACTGCCGTCCTTCCTTCATCTCAATCAGCTAGTTCTCACATAATTATTACTTCCTTTAAAGTTTCACTGCTATCCCCATTTAATGCCAACTGAGATACATAAACGTGTTCTGGTCTTACCTATACGTCTACTTACATGAATATTCATGTAAATCATCAACAGACTACTCTCACAGTAGGGAGGAAAGCCAGCTCCTAGGAGAGGCTGTACTTAAGTGGCTGATGCAATTCTAAGTCTCACCCATGGACTCAAAGATGAGGTAGATGTCCTTGTCATTCTGAGCTGGGATAACATCAAGCAGCTTGATGATATTTGGATGTTCTCCAAATTCCTGCAGAGGGAAGAGACCCAACTGTCAAAATCAAGTATATTGTTTGTGAATTAGAAAAAAAGGACAAAAACCTTCTGAATTTTATATTGCTGTCTATAACAAACATTAACATGCAATTTCCTTCATTATGCTTCTACTGAAATAAATAAGAAAAAGGATTTTAGCTTACTCCACAGTAAAAAAACAAGCCAGTTAATCTAAAAAGAATAAATCTCTGTTGTCTGAGATATTAGATATAAAAATCCATCTGTACCACTTGTGAATAAAATCCAGTAACTTCACACATCTCCT